GACGCTTTATTGCAAATGCCTTCATATGCCAAATTTCTAAAAGAAATTTTGTCAAGCAAAAGGAAATTAAAAGAAGTTTTTGCGGTAATGCTTACTGAAAAATGCAGTGCTATACTTCAAAACAAGCTACCACCAAAACTTGGCGATCCAGGTAGTTTTATTATTCCATGCACTTTGGGACGAGTATATTTTGAAAAAGCACTTTGTGATTCTGGAACGTCAATCAATTTGATGCCATTTTCTATCTTTAGAAGATTAGATCTTGGCAAAATGAAGGACATAGGTGTTTCTCTTCAGTTTGCAGATCAAAGTACTAAGAAACCTAAGGGGATAATTGAAAATGTGCTTGTGAGAGTAGATAAATTTGTTTTCCCTGTAGATTTTATAGTACTTGAAATGAAGGAATGTCCCGATGAACCAATAATTTTGGGTAGACCATTTCTTGCTATAGGAAGAACAATCATAGATGTCCATCAAGGGCAACTAATCTTAAGAGTTGATGAAGAAAGAGTCATTTTTGATATGCAAAAGATGCTAAGATTTTCAGGAGATGAAACATCATCTTCGTGTTTTTCAATTGAAATAATTAGTAATCACACAGATGAATTCAAAGATGACCACTTAATGTCAGACTCAATGGAAAGATGTTTGGCCAATTCAGGCACCACACATGATGATGACCCCACCATCAGAAGAGAAGCTGAAATACTGGAAAAATATTCCGAGGAAGAAGAAATACAACCAGAAGTAGTTCAACCAAAAATTGAACTCAAAGTTCTCCCCTCCCATTTGAAATATGTTTATCTTGAGCAAAAATTATTCCCAGTGATTATTTCCTCTTCTTTGACTGCAGAACAAGAAGAAAAATTGATTGAAGTGTTGAAAGCACATAAAGGAGCCTTAGGATGGACTATAGAAGATATCAAAGGAATTAGTCCAGCTGTTTGTACACATAGGATCCATATGGAAGATTGCTACAAGCCAATAGTCCAGCCCCAAAGAAGATTGAATCCAGCAATGCAGGAAGTGGTGAAAAAGGAGATCGTAAAGCTTCTGGCGGCAGGTATCATTTATCCTATTTCAGACAGCCCATGGGTAAGTCCCGTTCAAGTAGTACCTAAGAGAGGAGGTATGATAGTTGTAAAAAATGAAAATAATGAACTCATACCTTCCAGGATTGTCAGAGGATGGAGAGTCTGAATTGATTATAGACGTCTTAATGATGCCACAAGAAAAGATCATTTTCCTTTACCATTTATTGATCAAATGTTGGAAAGAATTGCAGGATATGGATTTTACTGTTTTCTGGATGACTATTCAGGTTACAACCAGATACCAATCGCACCCGAAGATCAGGATAAGACAACTTTCACATGTCCTCATGGAACATATGCTTATCGGAGAATGCCATTTGGTCTGTGCAACGCCCCTGCTATATTTCAGCGTTGCATGTCAGCAATTTTTTCTGACATGAATGAAAAATTTCTTGAGATTTTTATGGATGATTTTACACTTTTTGGCAAAACATTTGAGGATTGTCTTCACCACTTGACTTTAGTTCTTAAGAGATGTGAAGAGACAAACTTGATTCTTAATTGAGAAAAATGTCATTTTATGGCTACTGAGGGAATTGTGTTAGGACATAAAATCACTGCTAAAGGGATAGAAGTTGATAAAGCTAAAATTGATCTAATAGCAGGATTACCCCCTCCCACAACCATTAAAGGCATTAGAAGTTTTTTAGGTCATGCAGGTTTTTATAGACGGTTCATAAAAGATTTTTCAAAGATTTCAAAACCGATGACTAACCTCGTG